CTGTACCCCTGAAACCAATACAAAATAATATTGAATGTAAACTGTAATTGAAAAATAAATTTTTTCAATTCAAAATAAAAATGAATGTACTTGCAAAATAATGCATATAGGAGTAAAATCTTTGTGACCTTGAGTTAGACAAAACCTTCTCATATACTATACCAAAACCACAAGTGACAAAAAAAATAGATAAATTAAACTTCATCTAAATTAAAAGTTTGTGCTGCAAATAATACCTTCAAGAAAGTGGGAAGACAACAAAAATATTCTAAAATCAGATTGTGATGATTATTGCACATCTTTGTAAATATACTGAAAAGCATCAAATTGTGTGCTATAAAGGAGTGAATTGTATGATCTATAAATTATATGTCAATCTGTTTAAAAACAAAAGACTCATTGGCTCACTTGAGTTTCAAGGTGATACAATCATTGTAGGTGTGGACAAAGATGTTTCCTGTTTCCTAAGGAAATATGCCTGAGGAATTAGGAAGTCACAGGAAAGGTGAGTCATATTAAATATGTTCCAGGCAGACAATGAGAGTCCAGGCCTGGTACCTATTGGTCTGATAGAAAACTATCTCTTGGGTATAATTATTCTACACAGATAAAGGTGAATAAGATTGTTTAAACCGTGAATGCTTGTGTCAGTGCTGGAAACATTTCCATAGAAAACATCACAAGACAGAAAAACAAATGTCTGGGTAGTTTTCTTTGGACAAGAGAATTTGATATAACTAATTCCTTTTAATTTTTATAACTTTGGGCTTTAATTTTCAAGGAAATGTAACCCAATTTCACCCTGTGAATTTCATATTGAGAAGTGGTTTATGTTCATTTTATGTTGGTCCTTTTGTTGTTGCAGTATCTTAATTTACTCTCATTGTATAATCTCTCATAAGCAAATTTGCACAATATGGCTGCACATAATTTAGAATCAGAACTAGATTAGGGAGTAAATGGTAAGGTTTGAGCACAGCATGGCCTCAGAATCTATTTAATTAATACATTGTTCTGGTCCAGTTCAGACCTTTAGGGAGCGAAATCAACACTGACCTCTATAGATTAAAATCGGCTCACAAAAGAACAATAGTTGGCCTTAGGGTAGTGACTTTATGCAGGTTAGTGGCAAGACAGTCCAGAAACTTCGGATTTCCTGCAGTACCTTCAAGAGATAGCCACACTCCTGGCTAGCTTTGCTCAATGGATTAAGTGAAGAGAAGAAAAAGCTGCCGAATGTTTGGGGTTGTTTGTATGGAAAATAATACAATAATTAATAAATAATAATGCAAGAATAAATTGTGTTTCACATACAACCATAAACCTACTTTTGCCCCAGCCTGTATATGGAACACCAACTCATAGAACTCTGTTCAACTCCCATTACCTGGTTCTGGAAAGATGGCCAGTTAGATGGTGTAAAGTTTTTTAATGGCAAAGGATAAGGAGAATTCAGAGTGTTCCATACTGCAGAACGTAACACAGCACGCTCCCAGGGGTACAGGGTCTCAGATCCTCTGAGTTCTCCACAAAGGCACTGGGGCTGGTACTAGGTGTGGAGAGTGAACGACTGCATCAGCTTGAGAGAATCCCTTCACACTTCTCAGGGATTATTTTTTTAAAACTGTTTTTTGGAGTATAATACACACACACACACACACAGACACAAATGCACATACCATATGTGTTGAGCTTGATACAGTTTTGGAAATTGGACATGCAAGAGAGTCTTTACATCTTGTACTCTACACTGCTCAACTTTTCTGAAAACTGTGGCCTTGGGTTTGCCTCAAAGCAAAACAACCCAAACGCATCTCTGAGTATTTACTGTGAAAACACTTTTTCCTAAGCTCATCATCCCTCAGCTGCCTCACTCTTCAACCATATTTAAGACTCATTCTTACACCCACCTTTTCTGATTACTCCAGCGCCTCTTTCTCCCTCCCTCTCTCTCTCTCTCTCTCTCTCTCTCTCTCTCTCTCTCTCTCTCTTTCTCTCTCTGTCCTTTGAGCTCTGGACCATACATTTTGGTAATCAGTGACTAATTGCTTCACACCTCCTCTGTTCCCATCGCAAATGTAGGTCGAAAGTGTGTATTGCTTACTATTTAATTGAACAGTTAGTTTAAATTTGTTTTCTATAATCAAGTAGAATTATTACAAGGAACACAACCAGAAATTGATGATAAAATGAGATTAATTACTGACCACAATTACATAATTAAAGTGCATAAAATAAAAGAATGCATCAAATCTTTAACATTCCATTTCAAAGTTCAATTATTTTGACACTGTCCTGTGAGTGAAGATAACCAGTTAACTCCTGTGATCAAAGATCTTTATAAAGACTTTTCTAGTATATTTACAATATATTTTAATTAATCTAGATTGCAAACTGTAGACCAGAGAGTAGCTATAATAAGGCTTCCCTTGTTGCAACTGCCTTTTTCTGCAGGACAGGCAAAGCTGAGATCTCCATGCTAAACTACTGGCAGGGGTTTCTGTGTAGGCAGGGGGTTCTTTAACATATTTTACTTAAATAATAATATAACCAATTTTACTCATCAAATTCATGAAGATAAATATTACTCAAGTCTGTCAAAAATGTGGGCAGGCACACAATCATATGTCGCTGAAAGTGTATATGGCAATATTTATAGAAAGAATCTTCAAACCCTTATGCCCAGGGATGTCACTTCTATTTAACAATTTTCTTAGTAAATGTTCATGAGTGGGGAGGGCTGCGGAGAGGAAGGAAATTCATAGACTTTGAGCTGGAATAACCGGACATATGATAGTGTCTCCTTTAAAAGCACCTTTCAGGCACTCGCTAGACCTTGGGACCTCAGCTGCCTCAACTGGGGAAAAAAATGAAAAACGCAGCTAAAGCTTCTCCCTCGGTCTGGCCTCCTGTTTCTCCTCGAGTCAGACATCAGAGACCGCCCCACTGGAGAGCGCGGAGCACGCATGCGCGGGGACGCGGCCGGCTCCTGGGGCGGGGCCTGCTCCTGGGGCGGGGCCTGCCCTGCGCTTTAGGGTTCGA